CTTTCCTAATCCTGTACTAAGACAATGATTGACAATGGCTGAAAGATAATCCCCTTAACTGACCAATAATGTAATCATCAATTAGAAATGGCATACATTAACAGGAAGTGTGTTTCTTTGCCATAGAGTTCAATGTTAAGTTGAGATAAACACACTAGTAAACATGTTGAAATGCACATAACTTCTAAGTAACATTACAATGCTTAATCAAGTAAATCAATTAAGAAAGACAGTAATTCGACAATACATATAAAACAAGAATGAATAAAATCAAGCAAGTATAAGTATCATTTCTAGACATTTAAAGGGGAACCGCTTAATCCCATGGATTGCACCAAAGAATCATGGGACACTATTGTTTATGTTGTTTACAATGTTAATCTATCTTTTGTTATCCATTGTTATTTTAATCCAGAAAGTAAATTTGTTGTGAAATTAATCATAACTGGAAGGTGCCCCTTTAAATGCTACAAACTAACACAAACTTAAAACATGTCAGAGTAAGCCAGCGATACTACTAACACAGCAGTGTGCGAGCACATGACAATTTTAGCTTCTAACTGTATGATGATTAATGATCTTGCTCGCCAGATTGCTGAAGTCGATACATGGACATCTATGGGCGGAACGTCTACAGGACCTTATTCAATTCAAAAACTTCTATTATTTTGAGCAAGAATAAGGATATGAACCGGGACATAATCGTTCCGCCACATGACGACCATGTATTGACTTCAGCAACTAACCACACGAACAGATCGTCGGGCCCCGGTTGTCTCGTCTAGGTCACTTTAGTCGTTCCACATTCAGTTTAGGCGATGCATTTATCAAATTTGTGGAAATATCCCAACCTTCTCCATTTACTTACTGCTGTACGCTGCAATTCGTGAAATTTTCAGCCGACTACATGACTGTCTCATTAATGACAACATCGTGGAGAGCTAGATTGGCCCGCTTCTTTGAATCTGAATGACCTTGTCCCGTGAGCTGCCTCCTGCCAATCCAGACAAGTCTATGATGTCATTTTCGGAAAAGAAACATTGCAGTTAACCACCCCCTGGTGATTGGTTACTGGCTTAGCCAATCAAATTATCTTTTACGAAGAATTGCAAAAAGGGAAGCCCCAGCCTCGTTTCCGAATAAAAATGGCAGAAAACATCGAAGAAGAAGTTACAGACCGAGTTAATCCGTTTTCGTTTCAAGTATTTGTGAAAAAAAAACCTTCTGATGGAGAAGAACAACAGGATAAGAAAGGAAAGAAAAAGAAAGACAAAGGTGCATCTGTATCCAATGATTTTATAGATATTTTTAGTGGAGATCTACCATTGAGTGTTGAAAGAGGGCGGAAGTCACAAAAACAAAAGGATTCACCAAGTGCAGCAGATGACGAAAGTAAGTACAGATGTTGACTTTCACTGGTTCCGGGTATACGCAAGTCTGAACATCAGAGAGGTATTGAAGGCGTTAACCCAATGAATCTGACTTGGTATCCCTCTCTATTCTCTACATATTCCCCCACACACTGGACAATCTGTGCCAGTTATTTAAGCTTGTTTAGCTCCGCTGTCATCGAAGATGACCGAGCGGAGGTCATAGTCACAGTCACTTGGGGACTGAAAATCAATAAATACTTATTTAAAAAAAAAATCATCCGCTATACGTATATAAATAAACAAGTTGTGAAACATGGTACCGAATAAATCGACATCCTGTCGGTTTCAAATTTCGATTTCTTACCTTAAAATGCAAAACAAAAATTTAAGAGGGGATCAGGTTAACCATTGTTCATAATCGCTAACTTGGTTTTATTCAAAACTGCACAAATCCCGCGTTTTCTGATGATATCCGACGATTTCATAAACAAAAATTGCCAGCAGCCAGAATCAAGGGATTTCGCACCGAGTACTGAGTAAATCAAGTGAGCATGCTCATTTTCAGCCAATCAGGCGTGCCGTAACAGAGCGTAACCCCAATCTGGTTTACCTTATTTCCCAACTGGCAAAACTGATTTGTATCTCAGCCCAGTTTTTTTTTTCTTTTTTTGAACTGAGGTCAAATCTCGACCGTTAATATACCGATGTTTTTTAGTGAATAATTGTGAAGCCTGTCACAGCACATGTGAATCGACGCAGGAGATTGGATGGTATGACGACCCTTAAATTAGCGTCAAATATGCTTTGTTACAACATCATTGATTGGCTGAGAGTCACCTGATCAGAGCACAATCTGGGTCATAGAACCATATTTGTCCGTATTATCAACGGGACTTCGCGAGAGAACCACACCCACACTTTCAACCATTTTTAGCGCGGAAGTTGCCAACAAATGTTGAAAAACTCGTGAATTTTATGGATTTTAATAAAATAAAGCTAGCGATTGGTAAGACTGGTTAATAATATATCCCCCGATGCTCTTCGATTTTTTAAAATTTTATTTCAAGGTGAGAAATGGATAATTGAAGTTCCAATCGATTTCAAGGCGACTGTTTCACCGGGACAACTCTATGCCGTGTTGTAGTTTTGCGAGGTAAAATAAAAATATAGATATAATAAATAGTACTCGTTTAATTATTTGGTTTTACAGCCCGCAAATTACGGGACATGATCCCCATGAATTACGATAAATAAATGCTGATTGTGTTGAATGACGGACGTCGGGACCATTTGGAGAAACCAACGGGGATATTCCAAACAAATTAGTGGGACACTGTGGGCAGACATTTCAAACAAATGAAATTATTAACGAAAGACGAGATTATTCCAGATATTTACGAACATACTGTCATACTAAATATATGCAAAATTGACAAATACACAAAGAGATATTAGGTTTTATTTTAGCCTTAGAAATATTTCTACTTCTATTTAGCTTCATGGTCCTTTGGCTTGTCTTCTCCTTGGGGGAAATAACAATAATTATACAAATCGTAAACTCAACACAGTCAGGAAAAGAAACCCAGACAACCATGTCGTACTTCTGTTGAAATACATTTTGTAGCAGTGCGTCACGTCAGAATAAGTTGTTTAAAATAAAATAGTCAATCCCAGCCAAATCTAGGTCAAAGGGTCAGATTGCGTGCATATAATTATAGATAGTTAAAACTAAAAG